GACAGGGCCTTCCTGCAGGGCTTCAGTGAGCTATGGCCACAGCACTGCTGTGAGGTCTGCACTGCCCTGCTGCCTCCCACCCCTCCTCTGCATCCTCTTCCTCCTGCTAGCACCATGGGCAGCACAGCACTCAGCTCTCCACGCTGCCAAAATGGGCTGCATCCTGTAACTCATCCCAGTTGAAGGACCTCTGACATGGGAGGCAGCAGGGTATGTGYCCAGAGTGTGTTCCCAAAGTACAGACCTCTCAGGAGTAACTGCTCCAGAAGGGAAAACTTAATATCCTGAGGCGTCTCCAAAATCACAGCCCAGGAGTGAAGGCACTGCCCTGAAAATACCAAGCAAAAGCTTGAATCAGTCATCTCCAAAGGCAAAGCAGAAGCACAGTCCAYATACATGCTTGAGGTTTCACCTTCTCCAAGAGCCAGATGGGCCTTTTTATTCATTTCAGTGCCAGAAGACAAGGCAATGACCTCAATTCCCTGCAGAAGGATCCCCGAGGCTCCGTGCTCTGGGATCTGTGTGTGCAGGGCTGTCATTCCTGGGCTGTCATTCCTGTCATTCTCACAGCTTCTCTCCAGTCAGGACACCACCCTGCCTTATGGGGCTCCTGTTCCAAAGCACTGGCATTGCAGGGTCCCTGCACTTGGATCCAGCAGCTCCCAACATTTGAGAAGAAGAACGGAACACATGTGGAAATCAGGAACTCAGAAGAACTGTGCCAGCTGTCCGTGTGCCCAGAATCAGCAAAAAACACTGTCAGATCTAACTGGCAACTCAACTGTAATACAAACAACAGAGCCTGGCTGAGTGCCAGGGACTCACGGTCAGTGCTTGTGTGAGAGACAACACATTGTGGGGATTTGAATTTGAAATAAAGGCTGAGGTGGCCTCCCATTTCAGGTTTTAATTAAGCTCCCCTGCCTCAAAACTGCATAGAAAAATATAATCCAAGAGCATGGTAAAGTCTCAGATGTCAAAGATGAACAAAATCCTGAGCTGCTGTTGTTTTCATCGTAATTTTGTTGGTCCAAACGACACAGTATTGTTTCAGAGGAAGCTCGTTCTTCCCCAGTGCTCACAATCTGACTTTCCATAGGAYAAATCAAATGCCAGTCAAGTTGTAGATAAAAGCCCGCCTTTTATCTTATCACAAGATGCTGGTTTACCTGCATTCAGGATATTATTTTTTCATCCTTTCACTCTCTCAACTCAAAAAGAGCTCCTTGCAGAGTTCTAGTCAGTCTTGGAATGCCTCGATTCCCCAATCTTTACAAACCAGTCCCACRTCTCCTGTTCCCAGACAGCATGACCTGTGCTCTGGGCTCTCCCAGCATGTTCTGCACTATCTCCTTCCCAGTGCAGTACCACCGACCTGCTCATCTCATCTTTGCTCATCCTCTCCTTCTCTCACCCTCTGGCATCTGGCTAGTTTTCCCAGGCAGATGTGCAGATAGCCCAGAAACATTTACAGCAAAAGGCTAACAGTGGTGTCCAGCATGAAGAGCTCCTTCCCTTCTGCTGCACKGAGGGAACCAGCGCTGGAGGCTGCGGCTCTGCCCAAGCACATCCAGGTTCCTGTTTCTGTAGCCCTGGCATCCCTCCATGTSCTCCTGCACTCCTGCTCTGGGCTCTTCCAAGAGCTGTTTCATTGCAGTGTTTGGCACCCAGCCCTTGGCATGTGCTTCAGAGGAGGAAATGGAGCTGACAGCAGCACCAGAGGCTGCTGCAGCCTCACGGGGAAGCTGCAGAATGCACAGGGAGCTGGGCCAGAGCAGAGGGAGCCCCATTTCCTGAACAAACACCCACAAGGTCACTGTTTCATAACCCGATTGAGCAATACCATGGCTATGCAGCATGAAACAGTGCTGCAAATGCTAAGAAACTGCTACGAAAACTCAGCAACCACACCGCAAGATCTTTGCTCTGACATATTTCACACTAAACTGAATCCCACGAATCCACAAATGGCTTGCAGTGTGAGTGTGGTTCAGGATGGAACAGGGGGATGAGATGCTGCTCYCTGCTCCCTCAGCTGTCACTTCTCATCCAAAACAGCTCCAGTTCACAGCTCATCCAGGTCRAAAAAGAAGAACCGGGTCAGCAGAGACGGTGACTGACACCTCCACACTCTCCTAGGACATGAAGGTACTGGGAAATCACCACGTGAGTGTAACCAAGAATTTGGGACAACTGGCACCTCCCTAAAGCTCACTTCCACCTAGTGATTTACCCCACAAAATAACACACAACGGATTGAAGTGATTGAATACTGTCATCCCCATGCAGGAGCCACATGCTGTTGGTGCCCTGGAAGATATCAAAGCCCTTAAATACAACACAAGCAGAGATGACTGCCAGGGCCACCACAGGAGCAATGAGCACACACAGGTAATGGGTTCAGTGTTATGGAGGGAGTTCCACACGCTGCAATCCAAAATCTTACCAATAGGAATTTGGGTGAGTGACCCATACCAGTGCTAAGTTGGATTCATTCCTSCAAAGGGCAATCTTTCCCCCTACTCATGAAATGAGTTTGAAGATCATCATGTTTCCCAATTCCAAAAATACAAGCTGTGGTTCTCTCTCTGACTTCACTGTTTTTGCAGCTGACTCAAATCCCTGTCCCTGCTGAGGGGATTCCCTCTAGCCCAGAGTGAGGTGTGCTGGAGGGGTATCTAGMGAGCAGGAACACCTAGCCAGAGGATTGGGATCCACAGCCCAGGAGACTCACAATCCCTGAATTATTTCCACGGCTGCAAGTATTTCATGAGCAGCATTTGATGAAAAAAGTCTGCTCCTAGCAGCCATGTAGTCATGGATATAGAACAAACAAATCACTAAATTGCARAAAAACAGTGAGAAAATTTAAACCTGGAGTTTCTTCTGGACTCTGCRCTCTGCAGAGTTGCACAACGTTCCCAGTTTCACTTTATAATACCTCCGTGATTTGATGCCAACGAGCTGGGTTTCAAGTGAAGCCTGGATTCCCCATGGCTGACTTCATAGATTGAGTTCAACTAACTCAGGAGGCATCTCCCTGTAGCCTCTAAAAAACCCAGTGCTGCAGAATCTGTTAAGTAATCAGTCAGATATCAGCTCAGAACATTCATCACAGCACAGTGATGTTCAGAAGTTCACATGTGAACCAGAAGGGGGTTCTCTCTAACTCAGAAGGCCAGGTTGGATTGGACTTGGAGAAATCTGATCTGGTCCTAATTACAGGCTAAGTTATTAATTTTAATCAATTAAGTGTATGGCAAATGTTCTGCAGTTGTGTGCCAATACTGTGAGACAAATAATGACGATTCCAGGACAATATTAGGACCCGCAGCCCAGCTTGGGAGCTCAGCGCCGGGGTGACCCCACGGCCCGGAGTGCTGGGCTGGAACCGGGACTGAGCCCGCCAGTGCTCCACCAACAATGAATGACTGAATGAATGAATGAATGATGGTGTTCCAGTCTGGAACACGCAGAGAGCCGCGCGGGGCGATCACCGGCCCA